AAGCAATGTGCAGAGGAGCAATGGTCCAGAAACCAAGCAACCAATTCAGGGCAAAAATGCTACACAAGACCTCTTTAAAATGTTCAGGAGCAAAAGATGTCATTTGAAGACGAAGGTGTGCCTGACATAAGTCAGGGTGTTTTCCAATAACCTCTCATGCATTCAAAAGTTGATCAATAAGAAAAACAAAAGTATAATTGATGCCCTTGAATTACAATGGTGGCACGTAGGGGGCTATGGACAGTACTGAAGTTGGCAAGACGACTGGGCGGCTGGTGCAGGACCAGGCAGTTGTGCCTTCTGCTGTGCATCGGGCCGCTGGGAGCTGGAATAGACTAGACAGCACCTAACAAGCACATACTGTAGGATTATCACCAGTGAATGATTAACCAGGATTCCTTGTTTACGTGGCAGATCTCATTCCTCCCTAAACTGCAGTGAATGCAGGAAGGCGTTTTTTGGTTTTGTTTTAATACAAGATCCAAGAATATGTGCAGGGAATAAGGGAGGAGAACACTGTCACTCCCTCTGGGTGGTCTCAGTTCTCCCGGCTACAAAAGGGGGGTGGGGGGTGGGGGGTGGAGGCCTCGAAGGTGCCTGGAAGCCATGAAACTGAAAAAGTCCTTCTGTTCCTGGTTTCCCATTCACTGTCCTGTTGCCAGTATCTTACTGGCAAGGAAATTAAGGGACACAGTCTCAAATTCAGGTGCTTCTGCACAGAGTTGAAATCCTAAAAGCCTTTTATCAATGTTATGCTTCAAGACTGTTAAATGTAACCAGTGACTTTTAACCTAAAAATGGCTAAAGCCAAGAAAAGTTGAACTCATGCCCATTTCCATTATGACTCCATTTTTTAAAAGTAATTCATAAGTGTGCATGACTCACACATCTGCATAGAATGAGGCATCCTTTTATCATTTCATCTTCGAGTGCCAGTAACCCCACATTACTGGTGCCAAGGTCCTTTCATAGGAGGAGCGTGTGTTTCTGGCCACACTCCAAACATCACAAAATTGCTGCATGGTGAGAAAACCTAAGCGAGGGCTTGGGGGCTTCAAAATACAGGACAAGGACCCCAGTCAGTTGCCAAAATTCTGATCCCCTCACCCGTCCTTCCTTCACCACGCATGCCCCGCCACCTTGACCTTTAATACCTGAAAGCTAACAACCATTATCCCTCAGGCCTATAAAGCTATTTGACGTTTATAAGAACTTTTACATCTATTAACTTATATTATTTTAAGTGGTCCCCAGTGATCCGCTATCTGCTAGAATGCACAGGGCAGACATTACTGTACCCATTTTACAGATGAAGCAATAGAGATCTGAGAAGAAAGTGATTTGTCCAAGGTTATGAAGTGAGCAAGTGGCAGAGCTGGGACTTGCTCACCACACCACCCCCTACCCCCAAATCATCCAAAACAAAGTCCGGGCTCTTTCTCACCAAATTGCTTTGTGGTCTGGGGATGAAGAAAATAAGTGATTCCCAGACCAGTCTTCGCATGCTAACGACTTGCTAGTTGCTGTAAGGCCTCAAAGCACGGCCAGAAAGAATCTGAGCAGCACAAGATCTTCCACCCTCTCCAGGAGGATGCACGTTTAGACTCCCAGTCAGGCTACCTGACAATCAGGGCTTTCCATGGTGCTTTTGGCAACAAAAATGCCCCAAATGGGCAATGGTAGTGTTAAGTTCCTCACCTGATTGGGTTGGGGGGCACAATTAAATGTTCACCCCAGTTAGTGACTTGAGATCTGTTAGACTGTCACTATTAAAAACAAGATGCTTGTCGCTTGACTTGAGGATTTCATTGGCGACTGCAATTAATCTCAAACAGCCCCGGCATGGAAATTCACTCTAGATCCTCACCTTTAATTGTACAGGAGACGGAATCCCCCAGTCAGGTGATTCAGAGTAGTTGACAAGAAGTTACAATGGAGGGGGATTTCCAAAGGCAGTAGTATAAATGTCAATCACCTAAACGTCTCAGTTTACAAACACTTTTTTCATATTTAAATGATTTTCTTGTGGGCTCATACAACTCATCACAATCCATACATCAATTGTATCAGGCATGTTTGTACATATGTTGCCTTCATTTTTTTCTAGACATTTAATTTCTATTGCGCCCTTGGTATCAGCTCTTCCCCCTCCCCCCAACCCTCATAACCCCATAGATTGCACATTGTTATTATTTGCATGTCTCCGTTTCCCCATGTTTTCTGTTGTTCTTCCCCATCTAGAGGGGTGTATGGTTATGTGTCGATCATTGTGATCGGTTCCCCCTTCCAAACACTTTTTTAAAAGCTGACTAATGGCATACAGGATGCAGTGGTTAAGTGTAGGCTGCTAACAGAGAAGTCGGCAGTTCAAACCCACCAGCTGCTCTGAGAAGAACGATGTGGCAGTGCAGTTTCATAAAAACGTTCTGCCCTGGGAACCCTTCGAGGCAGTTCTACCCTGTCCTGCAGGGTCCTAGGAGTCGGAATCAACACAACCCCAGTGGGTTAGTAACAATGGGACCATCTCCCTTACCCTTTACCACTTCAAACATTTAGCATGATTCAGGTTTTTGGTTAACCAAGCATGTGAAATGTTTCAGTTACTAAATTACTAACAGGACAGAAACATTCTAACCATACCTTATTTAAATACAATTACAGGCCACACGTGAAAACTGGAAAACCAAGCTCCAACTCCTGTGCCAAATGAAATCTATTTTATAATCTAGATCAGTGGTTCTCAACCTTCCTAATGCTGGGACCCTTTAATACAGTTCCTCATGGTGTGGTGACCCCCCCAGCCATAAAATTATTTTTGTTGCTACTTCATAACTGTAATTTTGCTACTGTTCTGAATCGGGTGACCCCTGTAAAAGGGTCATTTGACCCCCCAAAAGGGTTGCGACCCACAGGTTAAGAACCGCTGATCTAGATAAAAGGGGATGGGGAGACGGCTAATCAGGATAAACAAACACTTACAGAGGGAAGGCCTTGGAGGATGGTTTGGGGGTTTGGCATCTGTCAATGCCGAGTTTAAATCTCAGCCCTGTCACATGCAAGTGATACAGCCCTTCATGTTGAGGTTTCCAAGCCTCGAGATTCTGTTTTAACTACAGCAGAAACCACGCCTAGGGACTAAACAAGAGATATCCTGAACTGCCATGGAATCCTTAGGCGGCACAAATGGTTAAGAGCTTGACAGCGAGCCACAAGGTGGGCAGTTTGAAAGCACCCAGGGGTGCCTCACAAGACCCGCCTGGGGATCTGCTTCTGAAAGTCACAGCCTGGAAAACCCCGTGGAGGTCTCCTCCTCTGCACACAGGAGGTCTGCATGAATTGGAATCAAGTGGATGGCCCCCAAGGACAGCTACTAACTACTAAAGGAAACGAAGATTTGGACGATAAGCTAATCTTATCAGGGAATAACAACAGCAGGCAAATTCCAGGTGGGGAGAAAAAGAAAAAAGAAAACTAATCAATACAGCTTTTTTACTTCTTTTTTAATATTCTATTCTCCTCTCTTCAGAAAGCTTCAGCTCAACCCAAACTCCTTCCTCCCACCCCTGCACTGATCTCTACCAACTCTAGCTTACAATAATTTGACTTGTCACCAGTGCACTTTTTGTGAAACATTTCTTTGATTTTCTCTAACCGCTGTATGCTGATCCTAACACCGATCTGCTTCCAGCCAGCAAAGGCTTGCACAGCACAGCTTTGCCCAAATTCTGTTTCTATAACTTCCGGTTTCATTGCTCCATTAATTAGTCCGGTTGTACATGAACTCAACTGACAAAGTGATTCTGCAATGCCACTTAATTAGAATTGAAAGTACCCAAGTCACTCTTCAGTGGTGACAGATAATTTTAATTTATTAAATGGGCATACAAACACTCTAAAACCACCTGGGTTCAGATCACAGAGAGGCACTCCCACAGGCTGGCTGGGGTGAACGTGACGCAGCCCAGAGCCCCTCCAGCTAAGGCTCTCAGGCCCAGGATGCTGTGGACTAAACCCCATCACCACTTCACATTCACTCAAACAGGCCCAAGATCAGGTCCTTGAGAACCGTCAGCTACACATCAACGCCAAGAGTCAGGGCCATAGAGAGCATGTCTGCAAACAATATGGCATTCATACACTCCCTACTGCCTTCTCTGACGGTTTGCCAAGTCAGATCCCTTTTCAAGCATATATTTTTGACACGCTCCCTTCCTTTAGGATCCTAAAATGAAAAATTTTAAATAACAGACACTGTATCTTTGTAGTTTCAAATAGTCGCTATTGTGTCCCAACTATAAATGATAGAGAAAGTAGATGCATTTTTAAGAGGAGTCCTGGTAGTCCATTAAGGTACACGTGCTGGGCTGCCAACAGCCAGATTGGCAGTGCAAAACCACCAGCTGCTCCACAGGAGAAAGATGAGCTTTCTAGTCCCAGAAAGACAACTTAAGAATCTGTGCTTAACTATCTAACTGCTCTGGCACAGCAGACTAAAAGTCTAACACTTGTAGTGATATGTGGATTAACCATGACATGATATCTGAAAATGCAGGCAGGTACTGGCACATTCTTCTTGGCAACACAAATATAAGCCACTTCAAACTCAGTAACATCATTTCCAAAAATGGTAAGCAGCTCTTAATAAAGTTTCTGACAAAATAAAGTATAATGGCACAAGTATATCAACTTAATATTAATTGCAGCCTTAGAAAACTCAGAGTATATCAAAACAATGAACATAGAATTAGGCTCAAAATCGTAAACAAGAATATACAGAAGAGCATTTGAAATGGATGTAGCCTACTGGAAAAACTCTTCCTTGAGCAGGACTCTCCCACACATTACAAGACAGTATGTCTAACCAAGTCTACTACATGTCAAAAGCACCCACCCCACCCCTGAAGGGACAACCCACAAAGCCCCACCATAAAACAGTACTGCAACAGCTGTGTGCGGCTGCGAGCCAGAATGGAGTCTTACTTTGTGTTTAATGCACTGACCTTAGAACTATGCTTGGCTCCAAGGTAGATGCTCGGTAAGTGTCTGAGGAATTGGGTGGAAGTTCTTCTGAAATTTCTCCTCTGTTCACTCTGAGGTAGCAGAAAAGCAGAGTCAATATTTTCAGTCAATACAAGAAGGCTTCTACTGGAATGAAATGTAGAATTGCTGACATTTCACTCACAAACAGAAATACTTTATAAGAATGCTTGACTCCGATCCCATAAGGACGGCCCAAGACCAGGACTGCAAGTACACATTACAGCACGAGGTCCCACTGAGCTGGGAAATGGCTTTAAATCCATCTCAACATGGCTCCAAGGAGCCCTGCCAGCTGTTAGGCTTCCTACCTTCAAAAATACAGGGAAAGGCTATTAGTAGGCTCAGACTACTGATGGGTATTCAGGGACTACTGACAGGTATTTAGAACCTTCTGAACTGTGCAATCAAATAGTAAGTCCTATTTACCATCATGTGAGGATTTAGCATGTGTGCAGTACACAGAGGCAGTTTGAATCGGGTGAGAGGTGCCTCAGAAAACAAGCCTGTCAATCTGTTGGAGCCTTGAAAACCCCATGGAGCAGTTCAACTCAGCACATTTGAGGTTGCTGTGAGTTAGGTCAACCCAGTAACATGCTGGTGTAGATTTCTACTTCATCAGGAAAGGAGAAGAATGAAGGCCAAACACAAGGCACAAGGTCAAAAGTGGTGATATCACAGTCAGGATTCCTGCCTACTGCTAGCTAGTAGGTAAATGAGGACCTTAGACTAGCATATCAGCAACTCCACATACATTCTCTCAGTTAACCCACACAATTAGCTGCGATCTACTGACGAAGAAACGGAGGACCAGCACCATCGGGCCCTCATTGGTGCTATGGCACAATGGATAACAGCAGGAGCCAGATTGCCTGTGCTTGACTCACAGCTCTACCATTTATCCGCAATGCAATATAGGGTAAGCAACTTAGTGTCTCTGTGCCTCAAGATTCTTCATCTGTAAAACTGTAATAACACACAGTTCATGAGATTACTATCAGCATTAGAAGAGCTAATACGTGTGAAGGCTCCAGCAGAGTTTTTGGCACAATTTTTTCCAGCTGTCATTGAGTCGATTCCAAATCATGGTGGCTGTGGCAGTTAAAAAATCTCCTGTCAACTTGTGAAGGAGTGGAGTTTAGCCTGTCAATCATGTTGCAGCCTGATGACTTCATTTGGGAGGTGCAAGCAGAGATAAATAATAGCTCACTGGAGGCCAGATACAGGCTCACTCTCTGCAAGACATTCCTGTTGACAAGCCACATGGAGCTATGCTGATGCAGCCAGAGCCCTGGAGCTGAAGGAGCCATGTGGAGATCCATGCCAGCACTGAGAAACTTCCACCACCACTGGATCCACAAGACTTTCAACCCACTGGCCTGTGATCTTCCTGCATTCAACATCATTGCACGGCTGTGTGAGTCTAAAGAGGAATTTATGGACTAGTATAGCCATATACAGTGTCTGGGTACACTAGAGAAAACAAAATCCATAAAATTCATATGTGTATAAGACAGAGTTTTATATAAAGAGTAATTGTACAGTAAAAAGCATTCCAACCCAGACCAGTGCAAACTCATTAAGTCCAATATTAGCCCACATGTCCGACACCAGTCTATGAAGTCCTCTTCAGACTCAGGAAGTGCATGCAATGACACCGAATGCAGGATGATCACAGGCCAGTGGGTAGAAAGCCTTTGGAACCAGTGGCACTGTAAGCATCTCAATGCTGGCAGGGGTCTCCACATAGCTTCTCCAGTTCCCAGAGCACAGAGGCCTATCAGCGTAGTGCCATGTGTCTTTGTCAGTAGAGCATCTCCAAGGGAGTTTGTCTTGTCATTAGAGAGTCTCCAAAGGAGTAAGCCAAAAGACAGGATTTCTCCTACCTCCTAGGAGGAAATACCAGAGTTCCCGAATTCTCAGGAAAAGGCCATGCCCACACCAGAGGCCTCATTGCCTAGTCTAGATTGACAGACTAGACTCGACCCCTTCACTCTTAATCCTCTCAAGTTCTTAAGTGACACCACATTATATAACTGCCACATGAGGTAATATTGAACTTATGGACTTGATCTGGACTGGTGGGGATGTTTTCTTATTACTCTTTGATATAAAGCGTTTTCTTGTACACGAGTATCTCGATGATTTTGTTCCTCTAGTCTACCCAGACTAACACAGTGGCCTAAGTGTTACAGAAAAAGAACGGTTCCACAGAGTTTTCTTCGTGGCCCTGCTTCCTAAGCTCTGCTGGGCAAGTTCAAAACCACCAGACTCTAGGTTCACCATTTGTGATGTCCAGGGATGCCTGGCCCATTGTACAGGCTAAATAAATGCTTCTTGAAACGGATGCTACTGCTATCATCATTGCTGTCTCCAACCTTGTCCACCAGTATATTCCACACCCATATGCTTCAGTCTTCAAATAACCAAATTACTTGCCATTCTGCTAAAGCTGACACCTCTACCTTGACTGCTCTCTGCAGTCAGCTCCTTGTCATCTTTGGGGTCTTGTTTTGTTCTTTGCTCAAAGAAACCTCCTCTGAGAACCCTAGTAAGTATGGTCCTTGTGTAGCCAGACCCAGTCTCCAGGGGCCCCTCCTGGTCCTCCTCCACTCTGTTCTCTTTACTCTTTACCACGTCCTTATTCATTTACTCAGAGCTCTTATCATGATGCAGAATCCTGGTACTTACTGAGTGATCTACGCATGTTTTTTGTGTCCGTCTCCTTCAGGAGAGATAAGGCCCAAGAGGACCATGTCTCTGGGCTTCTTCACTGTGTCTCCATCTACCCGTGGACTTCGCATACTCAAGGCTGAGTAATTCTTTGTTGGACAAATTGGTAAATGAATGAAAAAGGACCATCTGAGAGGTTTCTGCTTCACAGGGAGATCAATGAATTGCCAGGTGTCACAATGACAAACATGGGTTTGGCTCCAAAGACGCAGCTCTTCTCAGTCTGGTCCCCCTGGCTCCTTGTGTCTAACAGGCATTCAAGAAGTATCTCCTGAATTAATAAACGAGTGAACTATGGAATTTTTTTTAATTTTAATCATTTTATTAGGGGCTCATACAACTCTTATCACAATCCATAGGAATTTTTAAATTAACACATGCCACTGCTGCTATGAGGATAATTTTCACAATTTTTCTAGCAATCCTTAAATTTAACAATCCTTAAAATTAACATATGCCACTGCTGCTATAAGGATAATTTTCACCCTGCAACATGTCATTTTTCTATTTGGTCATCGCGAAATTATCAGCCAATCCAAATATCTACCTAGCACCCACAATGTGCCAATCAGTCTGTTCTCCACAGAACACAAGGCAATAAAATGTCACTGTATGCAGCTGGAGTCCGCTGGCAGGGTCAGGGCCACACTGTCTGGTGGGGCAGATTGTGGTCTGTACAAGTGTGCCCAGCTGATATGATAGGATGATGGTTGCAATTTAGCCTGCCTAGACTTTCCTGCTCGCTGTCGTAGGGCAACCCCACCTAAATAGGCAGTTTCCTAATTCTCACAAAGGCAACCAGTAGGTCAGTAGCATCCTGAGGAGAATCAGTCTTATTTCCTAACACTGGCTCCATGTACTGTGGGTACTTAAGGGCATACATATTCTGATTATTAAGAACACACACCCCCTTCCAATCTCTCAATGTCCCTACACAGCATCTTGGGTTGTAGGCACTCTACTGCACCAGATGCTTATGAAAACACTAAGACAGGGAGGCACCCACCAGTTCACTCCGCCCTTCCATTCAGATTAGCTACTACTTTTCGGAAGAAGAGAAGCCTGAAAGGTGGGGCCTAAAAAGCTAAGTTTCCATGGCAATCAAAGGTTGTGAAAAAGGGAGAGAAGTTCACAACAGGGGTAGGCTCAAGCAGGGGTTCACGCTTCCCTTTCCTTCCAGCCAGCTGTTCCAGGATCCAGAGTGGGAGTGGGCACTCAGGAACACAAGCTGCCCAATGGCACATACAAAAGCAGGGGCAGGAATGAGCTGCCACTAAGTCCCCCGGGCTCCTGTCCCCTGAGGAAGTTCCAACTGTCCAGTAGTGAAACAGCCCTAAAGAGCCCCAAGCCTTCCTTCACAGCTACCCCAGACACTGCTCTACACCCACATTGCACCGTCTGTGAAATGAGTGAGGTCGTAACATGGAGCGGAGCATGCAGGGGATTTTCAAGCTGCCATGCTGAGGAAGCAATGCATTCTGAATGCTAAAAAATTCTGCAATTAAAAAAAGTTTTAAAATCCTATTTAAAAATGTATTATTAATTGGGAGTTAATACATATATAGTATTCCATAGTTCAATCAAGTGGAGTAGTATTGTACAATTGCTATAGTTTCCGCACGTACTTTGTCTTCCTGGACTCCTTGACATCGTCTCCCTTTTACCCCCCCCTCCACGCCCCCATCTCCTCCCCCACCCCCGAAAGTCCTTATTCTACTTGCTGTCCCTATAGGTTCATCAACACTGGGTTTCATCAACCCAAACACAGAAAAACATCAAACACAACTTTATGAGGCTGAGCTCCAATGGCATAACACCCCTGAGATACACCCTAATATGAACAAAGATACAGAAAATGTTGAAGATCAGATCAGGTCCAGCATGCATCAGAGGGGGTATCCAATGAGAAAGTTTTAACTGTACAAATCAGATTTATGCCTTTGATCTTCTAACTCATCTCTCCAATGCACTCAGTTTAGTAACCACTTTTCTCCTACCCCTTAACTGTGGAGAGAGGGAGTTCACCAGAGGCTTATTTCCTATGTAGTTCCCACAAATGAATCTTGGGCTCCCACTGTCATCTGCAGCCTTCTGCAAACCGGATTCTCATCATTTAGCCTCTGGTAAGGAATAGTTTGACAATTTTTGAAATGATATTAACTCCACAAACTCAGAGAGCCCTGTTGGTATGTTAGGCTGTGTGTCAGCAGTTTGAGCCCATCAGCCCCACAATGAGAAAAGTAGGCTTTCTGTTCACATCAAGATTTACAGCCTCAGGGAGGGGGAAAGAGGTGCTGATACCCAGGGCTCAAATAGAAAG